GTCACCTCATTCTAAAATTTCTCTTCTTGGGTGTAGAAACCAGTATTAGAACTTTGCTACAGTGAATGCAGAAGTAATTATAAAACCAGAAAACCAAATGAAAAGCCAAACAATCATTATATACAAGTATTCAACAGCCTTCTACAAGGAAAAATTCTGCAATGCAATTATAGCTATCATTTCATTACCTTTTCTGTAAACAAGTCTGCTGACAACAACAACAGTTATTATACTATCATGCCTTCTAAATGGGTCTGGAGTGAAGTCAGTAGGATCTACAGCATTAGGAATGACGGACACTATTTCAGGATTCAGTGCTGCTCTTAGTACAGTATTTTCCTTACTAGTAAAAGAGACACAAATGATGTGGTTTGTGTCACAAAGAGACACAGTTAGAAGCTTGTTTGTAAGCACCGAGCTGACATCAGCAAATCCGAAAAGGGAATGGTCCGTGAAGACTGTCTGGAGCCCCATTGTCTTGGCGTGGAAGAGCGCATCATGGGCTATGGCAGAGAAAGAACTATGTGAATGGATTATTGTGACTCTCTCCCGAACAAATATGTACCTGAGCAATGGCAGACTGTGAAAGAGGGTCGTGGCTGTAGACTGGTTGTACATGACTTTCAGAGGCAAGTAATAGACTTTGAGGCCATTAGTGAGGTAACGGATGCCTTTTCGATTTCCATAAGCATGGGTGACAATTATGACCTTGTGCCCTCTTTCAATCAGGCACTGAGAGAGCTGGTAAATGTGACTTTCCACGCCTCCCATATTTGGGTAGAAAAAGTCAGACACCATGCATATATTATGGGTATGGGTTCTACATTCGTAAAGACTTCCAGGGCTAACTTGGGAGAGTGTAGCTGAGCGAGGCTGGCCGTGCCCACCTCCTCTTCTACAGGCCATGCTGAGATGGTTTAGGCATCAGTTCTTAGAGCAGCCCAGTTAAGATATGTGTCCTCTATTACCTGAAAAAGAGAGTAAAACAGGTTCTCAGCTCATAGACAAAACATTTTCCGTATTCCAAATCCAGATAAAAATATTATTTTAATGTTAATGTAAGTATGTTAGTTTTTCCTTTAGAAATAAAAACAAACATATAATAAATCTACTCATCTGACAACACATAATTGTTTAGCATTTACTATGTGCCATACAATACTAAATTATAACATGTTTTGCTCTAAAAATACTGCTATGCATCATTTTATATTTTTAAATTTTTTTAAGGTTTTTGCCTTAGGACACATGCGCTCTCTAGAGAGAGACAGACAGACAGACAGACAAGAGACAGTGAGAAGGAAAGTGAGAAGTCACTCCCCAGGGGGAATGGCCAGGCCACAACCCATAACCCCTTCCTGAGATCTTGGGCCTGTGCACACGCATGTACACACATACACAAACACACACACCCAGCGTGATTTTCAAGCCAGCAGGTTTGGGACTTGAATTGCGGCCAGCCATGTGGGAGTCCAGAAACAACCACTAAGCCATCTGCTGGCCTCATCTGTACATCATTTTAAATAATTGCTGTTATACCATAGTATGTTTTGCTAAGCTAACAAACCAGTTCTTTCCAATAGTCAAATACATACACACACACACACACACACACACACACACACACACAGTCTTTAAAAACTCCATGGAAACTGCATATTATGAAAAAAAACCTATGCATGGATTTCAAAAATTTTTTTGCCAAAATAAACTTATATGTTAATTCCATTTTCCCACTGACAAATTTTTGAAGTCCTCTCATATACCTATGCTGCACAGATGTACATATATATGTATGTGTTTCATATCACTTTACCAGCCTCTTATTTAAAAAGCCACTGCACATAAGGTACAATGTGCTAAGAGTTTTTCTATATCTTATTGCAGCCTCACCAAAACCCTATGCGGTATCAACTCCATCTTTTAAGTCCAAAGTCTAAAGCTTACAGAGGTTAAAGAACTTGTCCATGACCACTAAGCTAATTAGAGGTGGCACAATGTGGTAGTCTGGTGGTCCTATCTCCATGATCATTGGTGATCATTAGTATTTATACCTTTATAAACACCCCGCACCCCTTGCATTTGGACTTGGATTAAACCATAGGATGTGGTAGAAGACATGTATAAATTTGGGGTCTTGATCTGAAAAAGGACCAATGACTTCCAACTGTGCATTCTAGGATACCCTAAGCTACCAAGTAATAAGTCCAGCTAGGCCCAGCCTCTATAGCACAGTGGATAGCGTACCCAACTATGGAGCAGGAAGCTATATGCAAACTGCAGGTCAAGATCCTGGCCCAGATGGCATGAAAACTTGCTGAGCATGTGTGTATTTGCCTAGGGCCCTGGCAGGCTGGAGGACTAAAAGAAGTTGGGTCATGGTGTGACCAACTCTATGAAGGGTGTTTTTCTTTCTCATTTTCTCTCTCTCTTTCTTGCATGGGCATGTATCTATCATTAAAAACAAAGTGCTGCTACTATTAAAACAAAGGTCTGCTACTATTGAAAAAAAAAAAAAAAAGCCCTGCTACTGTACTAGAGGGATGTGGGGAGACATACAGTGTGGAGAAGGAAGGGTTCTGAGACCATAGGGAGATAGCCAGAAGCCCCATCATGCCCACCTTCTTAGCTGGGCCCATTCTCTAGCCATCTTGTCAGCTAAAGGCAGTTCCCCTAGTGACCACTTGCAATAATACGAGAAAATGACCCAGCTGAAGCCAGCAGAATGCACAACCATGAAAAATAATAAAACAGTTCTTGTTTTATACCACTAAGTTTTGGTGAGGCTTGTTATACAGTAGCAGTTAACTAAATCAGGCTAGGTATACTCATCTACTCTTTTTTTTTAAAAATAAAGTTTTATAAGAACATAGACTTGCCCATTCATTTAAGTGAATGACCACTTTTGTGCTACAACAGTAATTAGACACAGACACATGACCCATAAAACCTAGAAATATTCACCATCTGTCCCTTTACAGAAAGCTTCCTGACCCCTGGTCTAGAGTTTAGCCACTATTTCAAGTAATCTCATAAAGTTCTGCTACAATTAACTCTGTATCTTAAAATAAATATACCTGGAGCAATAACTGTATTTTTATTTTAAAAAGAAAGGATCTTTCTTTTCTTTTCTTTGGCCAGAGGGTATCTGAGGTCACCAGAGACAGAGAAAGAGAGGAGAGTAAGCACCCTCTACAAGGAATGGCCATGTCACAATCCCTTCTCCTATATCTCTTCCTCCTGTTGGGATTCTGGTCACCCAAGAACACAAACTCAATGTGTGTTTCAAGCTGCCAGATATGGGACTCAAATTAAGAGGCAGATACATAGAATCTGGCTGCCTATGAAGTTGGTCAGAGAGCACCTTTTTCAAGGGTCACTTGGAGCACAAACTGTAGACAGCTGACATTTTCTCCTTCCTCAAAAAGGGCTATCTCTATAATCAAACTGCTCCCTTCACTTTTTTCTTGATCCTCCTTTTGATTATGTAGGCCCTTCCTCCATGAGTGTCTCTCCCTTTAGTTTGGAGTCTGAAAATAAAAGGCTAAACTAGAGATGGGCTGTATCTGGGGCCATTTTCTACATCTAAAGTGGGAAATTATTTTGGGGGTCCTGTAAAGCCTTATCTATGTGAAATGTCTACTCAATATTCAGTACTAAAATATTATAGAGTCTTAGACTTTTGAAGCTAAAGATCTTGGAGAACTAGTAGAAATCTTCCTTGGCTTTACAAATGAAATGTCCAAACCTCAGAAACTCAACTATACAATGAGTAGCTGTCCTAAAGCTCTGAGTTCCATGTTTTACCTGCAAACTCAGAAAATGCAAAATAATTGTGTGATTACCTGTGCAAAGTCTTTTAACTGTTTATCTGACAAATTCATCTACGTTTTAAATATACTCTCAGAAATACTCCATAAATGTTTTAAGTTGATTTACTAAGGTTCAATAATACTAAATATTGAAACTCCTCAAGTTTGTACTTGTAAGTGGCTTAACTAACATTTTCTTACTGTGGTTGTCACCTAAACAGGAACTTCCAGTTCGAACTTATTCAGCTTTAAAAGATGAATCGATAAGGAAAACAGTGAGTAATGAACTCAATGAAATCATTTCAAATTTTGTCATTAACCTGCAATTTTGGGGGATGTCTGCCTACTTTCATCGGGTTATCACCCTAACATCTTCAAGGCATAAAAGCTCATATATACAGCACAATTACTGAATCGTAGATATTAAACCTGAAGAAAGGCTTGGAGCGTCTCATTTTACAAATATGAAACCAGACAGATAGAGGTCTTGGCCCCAGGTCCCCACCCACCTTAAGTACAAAGGTGTAACGACTTTAAAATTGTCGACTGTGGCAGCTGGGCCAGGAAGTCCTTAGCAGTAGAGGCGCCTGAGGAGCCTTACGGAGACCCGGCAGGGCTTGAGAGTCAAGAGAACGGTATTTCCCACCGAATTCCTGGGTACTGCCGGGATTCCCTTCCCAATAGGTCTCTGAAGAGCCCTAGGGCCAAGGAGGGGACGCCCCTGCTCAGTCAGCGACGCTGCTGAGGTCAGACAGGGTCTGGCCAGGCCCAAAGGAAGGAAGAAAAAGGCCAGAGAGAAGGCAAAAGTCTGAGGCCCAGAGTCCCGGAGTTCCCGGTCCCGCGCCCCACCCGCCTCGGCCAAGGAACCGGCTTCAGCACAGACGCCCTCAAAACATTCTCAGCCCCACTCGACTCTGAAGACCTCTGCCTCCACTTCCGGGCCTCGAGCCGGGTGGGCTTCACACCGCTCCATCACCTGCCACGCTCCACAAGGGCTGCACAGTGCCAACCGGAAGCAGGCCGG